CTCCAGCCCGGGGCACAAAAGAGTGGGAATGGAGTAGCTTGGTCGTGGATGCTCAGCGAGGGATTCTCCAGGGGTGCTGGTACCCTCCTGGGGTAGATGTTTACTTAATTCCGCTACCACGTTAGGGGGGTTGGGGGGAATTGGGCCTCCGGCCACCTACACTCACCAGACGAAACGCGGAAGCTGAGCTTCCACTTCACGCCGTTTTTCTGTGAGCTCGTGGTACCACCCCGGTTTGATCTGGCCCGTACGTGCAACAGCAAAGCCGCAGCGTGGCTCTACCAGTATTGAACTATCGATTGACCTCTCGGTTAAAGTTGGACTTTTTTTGTACTTTTTCGTTTCGTACTCTGGTTCTGTACTCGGATAGCCATCGTTGTCCTACTGTACATACACATCAACATTTCGATATACCGACATTCAACATGGTAACGCTGAAGGGATTGTAGCTTTGTTGAAATTGACGGAATCAAAGGTTTTCTCATAAAACTATTTACGTAAACAATGTTAAAAAACATCAATCGCCTACAACGCGCTAACCCCGACTGCGTATTACACCCTGGGTGAATCGCGATTTTAGATAATTATTTCACGCAGGTAGCAAGAGTGACAGAGGCCTGGTTATAGCGACCAAGGTCATAAGCCATAAGGATATGACGGCAGTTTTTTCTTCAGACTTCAGAGCATACATTTTCATTATTGTCAGACAATCTACGTACATTCCACCAAAGGTTATAGGAATATAGTTTTTATTTTACCTCAATAAAAGTTCTGATGTTAAGAAAAACTGATCTTCATATTATCGATAATATTATAGTGGTTTCCTAATATTTCCCAAAGTGTACCAACTAAATACTGTATCAATTAATGTAACAAATCGATTATTATTACTTTGTATGAAGTATTTTATATCAATGTAATTATAAAATTTTTGCATCTCGTGTCAAGATGGAAGAAAACACTGTTTTATATAAAAGCATTTATTTTAAAACAATGTAGGTAATATACGTTCTGATTCTTGGCAAAACAGTCTCACATAAGCAAGTCAACATTTGGCCTCTTTTAAGAATAAACATAGGATTATAACATGTGCTGCCATAACTCACAAATGAAAAAACTGAAATATCATATAAATAACGATATAAAAGGACATAATACAAAATCATCTCTTTCTACATTGCAGTTAGTGTTGCATCTTGGTTGAGCAATCTTAATTTAATTTGTTTATTATTGTAAATTAAACTTAATAAAAGGAAATAACCATTACTTAAATTGACTCACAATATCAGCAATATAAAAAAATCATCTAGTGTACCTAATTAATATGTTTTCACAGACGCAGACATTACAGTCCACAATGAGTTTGTGGTCTCGTATGCGATAAAATTTGAGAATAAATGCACAACAAAAATAGAATTTAAGTTGCCTTTGTCTTTTACAATTAGAAAAATATTTATATAACAATTTAGAAATAATTATAACATTTTTTCTTACAAACAATTTGGAATATTATTACACAAGCTCAGAGCTAAATTGATTGAGTGCAATGATAAATACTATAAATAGATCAACAAATCAACACGACACAAAATAGATACGGTATTGCTTGCCATCGCTGGCAGTCTGAGATCGGTAGCGCATGCTGCCATGTCAATTTTGACTTACAAACGCTATAAAAATTATTACATTAACATTTAGTCGCTTTGACACGAAAATTTTTCTCTGTTCACACAATGTAGATCATGAAAAATGTCGTATATAATAAATATTTTAAATATATATTTTCTGGGTCAACACGTTATCTACTAGTTTTACGTATTTACGATTTGTTCGTTAGTTGCCATTATTCCACAAATAATTATTTATATGAGTTAATACTACATTGTGTGACACCATGCCACATTAATCAAGTGTTGATTTGTTGGAAATTATTACTTTCACAGCACAGGAACAAACACATTCTGGACTAAATAAAATCTGAAAAATGATAACAACATTTTGTTTTTATAGACTAGCACATAATTTTGGCACAACACTGTGTCAACGAGAGCACAGTGGCAATGATGTTGTTCTTATCTACATACATAGTTTCAAGATTTTTGCTCAGTGAAAATATACTAAGTATGAATTTTATAACAAGGGTTCCACAAAGGTATTTTTTTCTTAACGAGCTGTAAAAAGAATGCAGTTTGGGATTTATAACTACAAATTTAGCAAGCGGAAGAAGCTACAGCATTTTTTAATTAATATTTGTGCCCATGTGTCATGTTCGATGTATAATTTATAATTCATTCATGAAACCCTAAATCAGTGAGCGATTTGATCATTCACCGAAATTTATTATGGACAGCTGCCATTACAATCATAAAATGCAAAATAATGTATACTTTTAGTAAATAAAAAAATTATAAATAATTAAAAAACTTATTTGAGTAAATAAATTCTCTTGTTTCATTGCTCATTCAGTGCTACGAAAACAGAGTGTAAAAATAACAGTGTCGCAGAGAAAGAAGCGTCTTAATGATTAAAAAAAATTACCCTGTAGATGGAGGTTTTGGCATCTTGAAAATTTGTTCTGAGTGATTTATAGCACGCGCACAGAGTAGACTAGGCGGCTGTTCAATAGATTTCGATACAGTGACGTTTATTTTTACACCCTGCCACAATGAGTATTTTACCGCGACAACATTCTTATATCCAAACAACAGTACATACCTAACACTTCCCTGTATAAATATATTATAGTCTTGTAAAAGAAACCTTTAAAACCTCATAGGTTATTAACACTACGCGAGAAATTACACAAGAGCATTAGGATACAATATATTGCTACGAGTTAACTTATCATTTGGCACTAAATTAACGTATTGCATCTCGAGCATTCGTCACAAAGTATTCGTACATGAATATCTTCGATAAAAATTATTCATTTTCTAAATTAATAATTAAATTTCATTTTTATAAATTTTCCTAATAATATAAAGTTAATTGGGCCAAATCTTTACACTTGGATATCTATGAACTTGTGAAAGGGATGTGAAAGAAAGATACTCTTTTATTATTGAGCAAATTCACCGAACCATTTCCCATCTAAGCATAACCAACAATCGACAATTAAAGAAATGGCCACGCAATAAAAAATTATACACTCTCAAAATTAATAGACAAGACTTTCTCGGCAAGTAAAATTTGGCAAAATTGAGCATTAGACTTTCCATTGGCATTGTAAAATACAACACATATAATGAGACTTCACTACGTGGCGCTGCATGACTACTAAGAATATCCTAAATCTGGTAACTGTAACTTATCCATAGGTACACAATTTTATTATAGACAATTGCTACTGTGTGCACAATGTGCTGCGTACGCGACACTAGTAGAAACTGGCAGATGCAACACAAGGCTCTGGCGGCAAGAGGAGAGACATCAGTATTGACCGGATGGATTGCACAATTCTGTGAAGTAGTGAACTTAAATATGCTAGAATTCTAACAAACATAACTTGGAATTGTATGAATGTTTTTGTTATGTAAGCAATGCGCATGTAAGTGTTATCACACGAGTGATTTTTTTTAATTTAATAAACTTAGATTGATAACAATCGAACAGATAGTAGCGATGAGATCCAAAACAGCAAAAAAGGTGAGTATATAATATTCCTTTTTGGAACTACTCGCTAAAAGGAATAATTTGTATAACCTTGCCGTTGTTGTAATAATACATATTAACTTCTGAATTCACTCTTAATCTACTCAAAACATCTGCCCATTTCTACGCTACAGACACGACGTGTACAAAATTGCGAAATCAAAGGATATGATATTATTCAAGTGACAACTATAATGAGGGTTTGATCATTGTTCAAAAGAACTATATAATTGATCGTGGACATTAGAGAATTCAGTTTTTCGCTAACTAACTTCAATAACAACTCGGATAAAATAGTATTTAAAAATTAAAATTCATCTTTTTATCAAATAATAGTTATTGCTTAGTTGATATGATAAATACATTCATGTGGAGATATGTAGCGTTGCACATCGACGCCGCAATTGACGCGTCGCGTTCGCACGTAGCGTGCCGCGCAACGAACGTGACGTCTCTGTCGATCCGTGTAATATGTACATTCCACATCACCCCATGGATATTCTGTACATTGATAGTTATTACGTAATAAATCTTAAATTTATTTAAAAATATGACTCCTTTATAAACCGTCACGATCACAGCTCTCCATAGACTTTGCATTATCCAAACCTCACGCACTCCTAAAATAATAATATAAATTCTTTCTTACATATTTTAATTTACACCTACATAAAACGAAATGACTACAATATATCTATGTTAGTTAAAAAAATTATGCCATTTTCTTTTGATATATTTTAACTTTGCAATTGCAACGGTCCCTCGTACAGCACTTAAATGCTTCATATACACAAACTCCAACGTAACAATGGAAAAAAGAACTTTACGTAAACCGATAAAAAAAGGAAGCAACGAAATGACTTACATCGATGAAATAAAATTTAGAACAAGCGGCAGTGTTCGCGAAAATTCGTGCAATAGAACCTAACTACAAAATATGTCTTAGGAACCTGATAAATTATTGCTAGAGCTTCGAGCACACCCCCACTCCTTCTCCTTACAAACGACAGTGCGCCCGGCGCGGCCGAGCTACATAACGAGATAAAATCTTATCAGTAGCCAATAGAAAAATATCACCTAAATAAATATGAATATTTCACACGGGCGATCCGCCGTCGCCGTCGTCCGTCGCCGCACGAATTAATATAAATCTACCTATACGATCGGATCTCTGCGGGTTTGTAGGGGACCGATGGCTGAACGTCCCGCGGGCGCGAGTCGAAGTGATGGCGGCGTACGACGGGCGTCGTAAGAATTTCTCATTTTTGGTAAAAAATAACAGGATTATGAAATTGATATGCAACAGGAGCGGGCGCGGTCAGCAGCGGGATCACTGCGGCGCCTCGCCCTCATCCGCGCCGCCCACCGCGTCGCCCGCACCCCCCGCTCGCCCCCCCACCCCCGCCCCCACCGCCACCGCCACCCCCTGCTGATCCGCTGCTCTTCGACGCCTCGCTCGTACTGCAAACAAACATCCCACATTAACTTTGGAACGCGTCACTAACTCTATACTATAAAGTAATAATTAATAATCTTTGCGCGTTTGGTTGCGACACTGTACATTTAATTGTTCCGAATCCAAAGATTTACCTTCTATTTATTGCAATAATATTATATTTCTGTTTAGTAATTCTGCAATAAAATCTTGCTTTACACATCGACAACGCGTTAAATTGGAGAACTAAGTTTAAACAAGTTTATTGCCACTTCAAATTCTCAGTATCATCTAAAAGAGCCATGCATATCTCCAAAACCCAAAAACTCTCCGATCACACTCTTCATCTCATGGTTGTAATACGGGAAATAAAACTGCACCCTTTAAGAGATATGACAGCATACAAGTAACTGAACAGACAGATCTCCAAAATCCATGCGACGAGACTTACGCTACTTCAATACAGCTCGTATTGAAGAAGTGGTCGAGCAGATCCAAGGCTCCAAAATCTTTGCCAGAGATCTGTCTACCAAAAAGAGCCAACTGCTGAAGCTGAAGACCTAATGTAGACACCTGAAATTTTAAGTGAGATTGAGAGGTTCTACGGGCAGCTGTACACGTCATCGTTGGAGTCCCACGCAAGTATGAATAACGATCCAAGAGCAAGTCTCATCCGACGCTACTCCGATGATATCCCAGACATCAATCTAAGCGAGATTAATATGGCTCTCCAGCACCTTAAAAACGCCTAGGCCCCAGGCGAAGATGCAATTAAAGCGGATCTTCTGACAGCGGATGGAGAAAAAGTGTGGTGGTCTTGTTCTTCAAGAAAGGCGACAACGCACTCGTGAAGAACTACAGATTAATTTCCATTATTAGCCGCGACTGCGTGCTGTTTTCGAGAATCATTACAAATCGTCTCGCAATTCGATGACCACCAGCCTCCCGAACAATCCGGTTTCGGAAACCTCTTTAGTACCATAGACCACATACATACCCTTCGGCAAATTGTACAGAAGGCCGAAGAGTACAATCTGCCACTTTGCCTCGCATATGTGGACATGTTTAACAATTTGACAACTTGGCGAAATTCCAGAGCACTGCTTGTTCTTTTCTCTATTTTAAATACAAAACTCTCTAATGATTTCTTATGATTACGCGAACACCACACATACGAATGAAACTAGTTTTTATGGGTTTTATCGCGTTCTTACCATCATATATTTTATTTTTATGTAAGATTCCCCGCGAGAGCTACACCAATTTTTAGAAATTACTAAAAAACATCCTAATTTCAATTGAGAAGCTGGGTGTTACCATCTACTTGGGATCCTATAATTAGTAAATTTAAATCTCAACCCAAGAAAACGACAGCATGTAGTTAAATATAATTTATGATTTTTTTCTATATTGCCACACCTATGTCAAATTTTCACTACTTCATGAGAGAGACCTTAAGTCGGCTCTTTGTATTATTAATTTGCAATAAAGATGACATAAATTATGAAGATTCCTGAAAGAGCTCGGATGGCTCGAATAATAATTAATTCCCGTTCACACGCAAAATACGCGCTTAAACATGGAGTCGCGGACACCAGCCCGACTCAATCGATCAACCAATCAAAGACAAAATAAATTAATAAAAGACATTTTATATTAGACAATAGCTTTTTGTGACCAATACTTAGTTCCTCAGCAATGTCTAATAACAACCGATGTCCTTGCTCAACTTTTTGCAAACTGCTGTCAAGATCCCGCTAAAAGCTTTATTTAAATGTGGTAGAGCCTTGCTGCAGCTGTACTGTGGATTGTAGCACGAATGGATCGGCTCGACTGGGAAGGGACTACGCTTTCATAGAAAGACCGGACTCTTTTTACTTAAAATGAGGCATTCCATCTTGGGCCTGCGGGGGTTACAATGCATCTGCATTTTGGTCCTTAATCGAGGATTACTTTAAATATCTATGGGCCACAGCATCCACTTACCATCAGTTAGATGTGTATTTGCTTGTCACCCTTATTCCCAAAAAAAAAATCACGAAGACTGAAAAGCACTTACGGAATAGAACTCTGTAACAATAAAAAATAAAACTATTCCGGTTTATTTTTTATTTTTACAGTCATTTGCTAACGGTAAGTATATAAATGAGCTTTAAACCGTACAACCAACGATATTTGACATATTTCATAAGTATGAAATACGAATCACGTACAAAGTCCGAATATGCAGATCACTTTGGCCTAACAAAGCGAACTGCATCTTGTTTTTAATGCCCGGCAACATTTTCCATTAAAATTAGAATGTTTTGTTTTTGAGAACCATTCTATGCAGGAATCTGTGTTCTTTTGCAATAATTTTTATTTGAATTTGCATTGATATTTTTATGATTTAGAGGCGGTGCGCGGCCACGAATATGTTCACTAACTACAAATTTCCCAAATCCACGGTACTTCACGTTAAGAATATTGTGTATGACATTCAATTGAAAATAGCAATAGAGTATATTGTTGTTATATGTACTCATGTAAATTTTTTAGTTGTTCAAAACGTTTTTTTTTTTCCTAGATAAATAGTATGACACTACAAGGACGACACTAAATGCTTTTAGAACTGGCAACTTGTAAACGATATAATAAAAAATAAGTTCAAAATTTGTAAATGGAACTCTTTGCCATAATTATTATGTATGTATTTTATCAATTTGTCATCTGCTTACGATTTGGCGGACAATTGAAAATTGTATGTGTCACGTCAGCATAAATTTAACGCGAGAAAATTTTCGTAGAATGATTTTTTATGACTTTCTATGTCATTTAAGTCAACAAGAAAGTTATGATAGACTTCGATTGGCCTTTCAAGATGAAGCCCCATCTCGTGCCACTGTTTACAACTGGTTTAATGAGTTTAAACGTGGTCGCACTAATCTCACTGATGATCTCCGTGAGGGACGGCCATCTACGGTGACGACTGAAGAAAACATCAGTGTTGTGCGCGTATGATAGAGACTGACAAAAGAGTAACTTATCAGCAGATTAGGACAAGCTTAGGTATCGATATGAGTCAAGTGCACAAAATTCTCCATGAACATTTAGCGGTCAGAAAGCTTGCCCGGTGGATACCTCATAATTTGACAGAGGCCCAAAAACTCCGTCGTGTTAATTGATGTCGTGAAATGGTTCTAAGATTTAATGCAGGTGACTCAAATGCTGTGTTCGACATACTTACAGGTGACGAAAGCTGGATTTATTGTTATGATCCTGAAACTAAGAGACAGTCTGCTGTCTGGGTGTTTCCTTCCGAGGAGTTGCCACCTAAAGTGAAGAGAGGTCGAAGCGTGAGAAAAAAGATGGCAGCCTAGTTCTTCTGAAGGACAGGTTATTACGCAACAATTGTTTTAGAGGATCGAAAAACAGTTACTGCAGAGTGGTACACTAATAATTGTTTGCCACTTGTTTAGGAAAAAGTTCGGGACAAACGACCTCGCAGTAGGATCCTTCTTCACTACGACAACGCCTTGTCACACACCGCCAAGCAAACAATCGACTACTTGGTGACGTCAGACGTGGAATTACTGGGTCATCCTATAGCTCCAACCTCGCACCTTGGGATTTTTTAAACTTCGAGGAAAACGTTTTATGGACGCCGAGGAAGCAAGCGAAGACACCCTTAAGACGACACATCGAAAACGCTATCGCCGTACTGATCCGAGTGAATACATAATTTCTATAAAAACTTGAAGAAACGCCGTCATAAGGTCTAAAATTGCGTAGCGCCCGCGACGATTAAAAGCGCTTAGAAATTGCCAGAATCTTAAAATATTTTTTTAAAAATTATTGATTTAAGTTATCAAAATAATGAGCAATTAAATCATGAATATTGATGTTATGAATATATTTGAATGATTTCCAAGCATATAGATCAAATGATTTCGTTGTAATTTCAACTATAGATATATATATTATATATTTTTTTTTTTCAATCGTGTTTTTTGAGCAATCAAATTCAAGATAAAGACATGAATTTACCTATATCAAAATCCCACTTTCGTTAGTGGTGTCATAGTCCTATACTATTCGATGAAAGGAGGTGCACTTTTTCACGGTGTCGCCTTAAGGACGAGTGGGCATAGTGCTTTTCTCAATGATTTCATCGGATGCAGCGATGTATTGATGTAAATGGACACTGTTTTGAAAAGATATAATAAAAATAATAACTTGCTAGTTTGTTCAGTTTTTGATTTTCTAAGAACTTTCAGTGTCATCCTCGTAATATGCTTTTTCCACGTTTACTATTATTATTATTATAGATTAGCAGGCAGGCAGTAGAAACGACTGATAATGCCTGTATCCTGTTTGTGCCCGCTGGAACCCACACAATAAGTGCAATAGGAGTTGTTAGTTAAAGTGCAATTTTAAGTAATAGAAATTCCAATACACATAAAATTGAAAAACAATAAGTTTTTAGACACTACTTACACCGCCAAGCAAATTTTAGAGGCGGCAGCTTTTTGTTGAAAATCCATCCAAAAACGCTTAACCGTAATACAACTTTTTTATATGCTGCAGCTATATAATGGTTGTAGTGCGAATTGGTCGGCTTGACCGGGAAATGGCTACGCTCTCACAGAGTAGCGGCATGAAATATCAGCTTAATACTAAAGTATTTCGTATGGTGAGTGTAGGGAACCGGAGAGCACTTTTAATGGAAACGAGCTGTTGTGTTTGCAATAATACACGTTCGTTAGCGAGACAACAACTGATTTATTCCTCTCATAACCTACTTATACAATAAGTACCCGGATGACCGAGCTTTACTCGGTTTTTTTTAAATGAAATTTAGATACAAATTACATACCGATGAATAATATTTTTTGATCTTATTGACATAATAGAAAAAACTGAACTGGTTATTTGAATAAAAAATCATGAGTGCAATTAGTTTTATTAAAATTTTCGTATTTTTAAAAAATACTAAAAAAAGGGCTTGAAATAATAGATTTTCTCAAAAGAAGGGAACTTGAAAAAA